CCCCCGGACTGAGTGGTCGGGGGGGGGGGGGGGGGCAGATCAAGGTCCCCGCAGTGTGGGAGGGAGTGGGGCAGGGGCAGTAGTGAGTGGGGCCCCGGCCGAGCCGGGCCGGGCTGAGGAAGGGCCAGAGCCTGGGCAGCTCGTCCTGGTGTTCAGGGGTGCTCCTGCTGCTGCACACACCCCGGCTGCGGCACAAGGGGCATGTGCCCCCCCCCAACTCCTGAATTGTGCACAGGGCAAGGTGGCTGCTGCTGCATGCTGGGCTTTGCACCCTGAGCCCTGTTGCAGCCATGTGCAGCACACAGCAGCAGCTACCTCACTCCACGTACAGATCAGGGGGGCTCAGGGCGAAAGCAGCTGCAGCAGGGCTTGGGGTTCAAAGCCCAGTATGCAGTGGCAGCCACCTCACCCCATGCACAGATCGTGGGGGCACATGCTCCCCATGGCCTCCGCCAAGATGCATGCAGCAGTGGGAGCCCCCATGCGTGCCTGAACGAGCTGCCCGGGCTCTGACCCTTTCCCGGCCTGGCCAGGCCAGCGCTCCACTCACCCAGTGGCAGGGGGTCCAGAGGGGGATCGTTCCACTCACCCAGCCCAACCCCAGTGGCAGGGGACATGGCTCAGCTTAGCCACATGCGTCCTGTTGCTCATATGTCCTGCCACTCCTGGACTCCATCCCGGCCAGTCCCCACGTGCATCCTGCCGCTCCCAATCGCGGAGCCTCTGACAGTCGATCTCAATCTGGGGAGGCTATCTCCCCCCAGACTGAGATCGACTGTCAGGGGCTCCCCGATCAACCAGTCAATTGGGATTGCTCGGTTGGTGACCCCTGGTCTAGGATAATACCCTGTTTTTGCAGCCAACCAAAGTTTCCCCCAAAATTATCACTTTAAGCCTTCACACTCAGCTACAAGGCACAAAATAAGAAACTCCAGGAACACTCTGCAGCATGCCATGGATACAACAACAGGGGAGACAAGGGCAGAGAAATAATCGGTTAATATATCCTCTATATTCTATGGGAGGCAAGGATTTTTTGTGATATCTTTTATTGGTTGAACTGTAAAGTGGGGGGAGCTGTTAGACAAGCTTCCAGGCAGCATGTGTCTTTCCTCAGGTGTAAGAAAGAAGCAGATGTAGGCTGAGCTAAATATCAGAGGAACGCTTCCATGCAAATGCAAATCATCTGCTTGGGAGGATGACAGAGGGCTGTGAACTAAGAGTGAAGGAATCTAAGGGCCTCGTTATACCTTACACTGGGTGCATCTACACATGCCTATTAATGCACAACAATAAGCTGCACAGCTTATTGCTGCCAGGCACACGTCTACACGTATGCCCAGGATCGCAGCACGTTGAGCCGGGGCAGAGCAGCCCAGGCTGGCAGGGGGTTCCAGGGATCAGACTGCCATCCCAGGGGTGCTCCCCCCAGCTCAACGTGCTGTGGAGAGGCTGGCTGCTGTGCAGTAAATGTCTCGTGTAGACATGCCCCCACTGTGAGCCTCATAAATGTTGACGGGTGTTAGCGTTAAGTCGAGTTTGGAGCAGTCACATTCAGGCTTGCAAGGGCCTGGAGGACTGAAAGATAAGAATCTCCCATTCTGGGGTTCCCCGCCACCCCTGCCCACCCCACCCCCCACCTCCCAGTTACTTGTGGATGCCCTATCCTGATGCTCTCCCAGGCCAGACAGCGCAGGCAGCCACAAGTGAGCAAGGGGAGCAATGAGCAGGGATGTGGGGTGCTGAGGAGGGTGTGGGGGCAGGCAGTGGCTCTGATCCAGGCCAGTGTGGGAGGAGCGGCAGATGAGGGGTTTACATTAAGGTGTAGCCTAGAGCGGCTACACCTTAGTGTAACATATGCTGGGTAACATGGATCAGAGGGACTCCTGTTCTGGAGTGGCATCACTTTGAGCCAGCTAAAGAGTGCTTAAAACCAATTTCAGGTGTGAATATGCAGACAATCCAGGGGTTAAGAGCTCCAGGAGCTGCCCAAATTACAGTGTATAAGACCCTAAGCAGACAATACAGATGAGGGCAAAAAAAGACAACCCCTACAGCCCTTGCCAATCTGAGATTGGGGAAAAACTCCTTCCTGACTCTCCTGAGGGGGTTGGAATAGCATCTCATTTAGGCACCCGCATCTAACAGGGAGAGTAGGATCTGATCACTACTGGGCACGGGGCCTGCAAAATCTAGGGTCAGCCCTGTCCTTTGGCCATGTTTTGCAAAGGAGAGCAGCCATTTAGGAGCTTAAGGGTCATTTAGTCTCGCAGCATTTAATGTTTCCGTGGCAAATGTCCCAGGGATTAGGTCGTTTATAACTAATAACTCCTTCCACCAAATGGGTCCGGCCTGTTTTATATCAAAGTAATAAAAACTCTTCAAGAGGGGAAAGAAAGTAAGAATGAACTCATTACAGAGCCACGTAAAATCGGATTAAATGTGCTCAACATGAAGGTAAAAGCAAGCTGCAGGCATGGAACGTTACCAGCCACGATCGCTAAGGGAACCTTTATGCTGTGCTCTTTATTTGCACACCCTGAAAGCTGGCAGCATCCCAATCAGCCTCAGGCTGATAACCTGAGCCTGGGCTTAACCCCTCCTTCTTCATGCATCTAAAAGTCTATGTTAAGAAAATGGCCATAGACCAGAGGACGGATCCTGCAAGGTACTGAATGCCTCCTGGACCAGAATCAGCATCTTTCACTCCTGCTAGCTTGCTGGGAAGGGAGTCTAAGGTCCAAACATTGCATCACATATCTGTCAGTAAATGGATCTCCAGGGATCCCTATGCAAACATTCCCTTCTGCAGCTCAGACATCTACATGTTTCCTTTACAGGAAACAAATGGACTCTAAAATAAGATGCTCTACTCAAAGTGGCATCTAACGCAGAGGGCTGAGCTTGCAGTGCTCAAGCCTGGTTTTTGGAACATGCTTAATGCTCACAGCTCTGCGGGAAGTCAAGGAGAGCTGCAGAGCTCAGCACACGTGGGAAACAGAGCCATGCTGTTGAGAGTTTTGTGCTAGTGGGTGGAAACACTCAAAACTAGCCACCGGCAGCTATATAAATAAGTCTGGGGACTTCAGTCTTTTCTCAGTGCCAGTGCAGGCTGCCTCGCACCATCCTGTCAGTGGGCCTCAGTTCTAACCCAAAGGATTTAGCTTTACAGCTGAGAAGTCATCAGTCTACAGCCCTGGGATTGATAGTTCTGCTAACTGTAGTGGTGGATCTCTTCTGTGAAGAGTTGCCTGTTATAATCTGGATCAAGAACCAGTGTGGGGAGCCCAAGCCGTGGCAGGTAATGCCATGCACCACTCCCCGCACCGCTGCCACTCTCTGGCAGTCGACATAATACTCTACCTCCCCCCACTCTGCCCAGGGCATGGCAGTAGCTTGCTATGTCTTTGATTCAAACCAGTGAGCAGGCAGAGAGAGGCTTAGTGCCCCAGCCCCTCAAGGCATCCACTGCGCCTTATAGCAGAGGCTTCACACGGTGAACCAGAAAGATTTGAAAACCTAAATGCAAATGAAGAGAACAAATTATCCCATGGAAATCCCTGCTACCTGATGCAACTGAGATGAAGCCTGTGGTAGACGATGCACAAGAGCAGAATATTTCCCACCATATTAAATAGGGTAAGCATTTATAAGTGATTTCAAGTCTTCATGCATCTAAGCATAAGCCAACCACTACCTCCCCAGGAGTTTGGAAGAAACTTCCCTTTTTGTCAAGTCTTTATTTGAGTGGTACCAGGTTCCTTGCTGTTTCCATCAGGTTCTGGCCATTGCCATAGAGGAATCACTAACCAGATGTCCCAGATCTCATCTGATATGGCAATTCCTATATAGCACACCATAAATGAGACCCTGGCTCCATAAAAATCAATAGCAAAGTTCCAGTTGGCTTCTGTAGGGTCACGATTCCAATTTTTTGCATTTTTCACGCTCTGCTTTCCTTGATACCTGTAATCTTTTAACAAAAAAACTAATACCACTTCCTATTGCACTGACATACACTTTAATAAGTGAATGGACATTTGCAGTATTTTCATTTCTAATGGCTG